ACCTATGGGTCACTTAGTATAAACTATGTACACAATAGCAGAGACTTGTGAAGGCCTTTTCTCAATGCATCAGGAGTTGAGCTCAGTTTGAATAATAAAAGAGAATACCCTGCACTCCAACCCTCTCTCAAATGGATAATTCTGGTGATCCTCCTGACAGCCATGCTTTAGATTTTGATTTATGTTCTTCCAAAGCTAAAATCAAAGTTTCCATCTAGTGCTATTTTATGGCTCAGCTGTATTTTTTATTTTTATGTTATTTTAAGTGATTTCCCTATCCACATTTGTTTGCGGGGTACTTGTCCTACTCTTACCCCCATTTTACTTCCTTTTGCAGCTTTCTAGCCCTTTCCAGGAGTTTTTTTTGAGGCATTTTTGTGGCCAAAAGTTCGGGTCCCCATTGACTTTAATGGGGTTCGGGGTCAAGTTCGGGCCCGAATCCGGACTTTTTTTCAAAAGTTCGGCCAAAGCCGCCAGACCCGAACATCCAGGTGTCCGCTCAACTCTACTTACAAGATGATGAGGGATCCAACTGTACAACCGGTCTATTTTGACATTTGACACTAACCTTCACAACCCTGCTCTGCCCATGGGTAATAATAGTGGAAGAGATACAGCCGGTGGTAGATGAGAACTGCACAGAATCAGAAACAGTACATATGAACCTGCTGCATGCCCTAGTACTTTTTCTTTATGCTTTTACCCTCAGTAATACACCTTTTTGAAGGGAAACAATATATTTGCATATATTGGTTCTATTGGTACTAGAGAGATGACTCTTCCTCTACTCATGTCATATCCACACAATTTGGGCTTTGCAAACACCTTTTTGAAGGGAAACAAAGTAATCCCAAACTTTGGTTTGATGCAATACATTTGCCTCATCCCTTCAGTTTTTGGCTATTGAAAAATTGGGTGGAATCTACACCAGCACTTGAATGACTAATGCTAACATAAGTGTTTATGGTGTGGTGGTGGTAATAATGATAGTAAATAAGTGTAACGGACCGTTTTGCACAAAAGGGGTAAAAAGGGGTTAGGAGACCTTCCCCTTCCAGAGATACAGGCACAGCTACTGCAGAACACCAAACTCCCGAGCTGGATACAAAATAGCACTCCAACTCCCGAACTGGAACCTCCCAAATAGCTTCTAGCAGACGAACAGGAAAAGCAGACAACCAGCTTACACTCCTGGCAATCAGTCTCTAACAGCATACAGTGAATCCCCCCAAGAACGAGACAAGGCTCCGTGTTGAGGGTCAAGCAGTGGTCTGAGGTGCTGGCACACCCAGCCTGGTTTTTATTACAGTCTTTCAAATACAGGACCGCCCACAGGGAGGTATAAAACAACCAATTACATATCAGTTACATCCCACATCTTCCCTCCCCTTATCCTGAGAGGAAACTCAATTACACATACAGTTAAAACATACTTTCTACCCAACTTTCATAACTCTAAAACCATACATCACATTCACATAAAATTACATATTCACAATCAATCCATTCAGGGGAACAACAAAAATGTCATGAATCAGACCAGGGGTTCAAAAGTTAGTAAAAGTATCTTTTGAGCCCTGGCTGGCACGTGGCTATCTGGCTCAAACAGGTTTTACAGAGCCCTCTAGCCTGGAGACAATGGGGAAAATAATCCAATTATCCAGGGATAGAGGCAGACTCCATTGAGCACATGGTGACACAAAGACAGTAAAACACTTTAAAATACATAAAGTCACCTTTTACACATAACACACAGACATTTCACATATCCCCAGATAGCTGGGATCTGAGCGCACAAAACTACCGAATAGCGCTCAGATCCTATACACACAGTTCAATTGCCATGGAGCCGAAGTCTTTAACTACACGAATGGGCTCCATGGCATAGCTATCTGGGTTAACACATTTACATAAAGTCTGGTCCATAGGGGGCGGAGCTAACCGCGAGCGCGAATGGACGCTTGCTAGCAGAGCTCCGAAAGAGACTCAGGGCAATCCGCATCCATCGGGCACCTACCGCAACATGGGACACCCCAAACGCCTCTCCACTGCTCCTAACACGGCGGGCAAACACTCCGCGGCGAAATCCAGCAACCTCACCAAATTTTTCAAAGATCAGGGCGACCGGCGAAATGAGGCCGCAGGCTCCAATATGGCGCCGGACGACCCGGCGGAGCACTCCTCAGGGCCCTCCAGCCCGGCGGCATCAGACAGCATCTCTCTCACATCTGACATTGATCGGGACAAAGATCTGAAAGCCCTACTCAGGAATCTCCCCTCCAAGCAGGACCTGGCTACTATGCTGCAGAAACTTGAAGTGACCTTTCAAAAGAAGATGGATGACATCTCCACAGAAGTAAGACAGGTCAGTGACAGGGTTAACTCCCTTGAAAACAAACATGACTGCACATGCACACAACTACAAGCCCTGCAAAGTACAGTGACAGCCCATAACACACAAATGGCTGCTATGTACAGAGCACTTGACGACCTGGACAATAGAGGGCGCCGTAACAACTTAAGGGTTAAAGGCCTACCTGAGGCTGAGGGGGAAGACCTCCACTCCACACTGCAAGAACTCTTTAACCTAATCCTCCAACGAGACACAACAATGCCCATCCTGCTAGACAGAGCGCACAGAGCACTCAAACCCAGAAGCCCTGGGGGGGACTCCCCCAGAGATGTGATATGCAGACTGCACTATTACAGCATCAAAGAGGACATCCTAAGGAACCTCCGCCAGACCTCCCAACCACTGCTGTACCATGGGCGACCAGTACAGATATACCCAGACCTTTCCTGGATGACTCTCCAAGCAAGACGGGTCATGAAGCCACTCACTGACCTCCTAAGATCCAGGAATATTCGCTACAGATGGGGATTCCCCCTCGCCATTACGGCAACTCACAACGGGGTCACTGCCACCCTCTCATCAGCCGAAGACACACAAACATTTACCTCAGCCCTTGACCTGCCAGAAGTCCATATCCCTGACTGGTATGGGCCGTTACACCAGCCTCCGCAACACAATGCCCCACGACAGAGAGGACAAACCCCATCGAAGAGACGCTACAACGACCAAACCATTCACCAAGGGGGACACAGACCGAGAACAGGACCCCCCGCCCAATAAAGAACGCCCCATACCATCGCTGTCGGACGCCACCTACCCCTTCAGAACCCAACCTGAGAACACAGACGACACTGTTCAAGGAACGGACCTCATTGCCGGATCTAACCTGGCCCAGTTCGGATTACAAGCACAAACAAGCCTCACACACCTCCCTGGACTCCCACAACCATGGGCCACTATAATAACTCACCTTACCCCGGAGGCCAAGATTCCCTCACACACTCTCTGCAAGAGAACCATCTTGGCATCCCCAACGATGCAACAGACGAACCAGCTCCCCAACTCCGTAACAGAATTAGAGATCCCACCAAACTCCACTTTTTCATCGTACTGCCTCTGCTACGAATCCAAGACTTAACCCCAGCCGCGGTACGAACTCCTACACACGATCCCACGAACTTTAGGTACTCTGCATACTGAACGGCAATAACATGCCGGTGGGAAGTCCAGTAGAAGACCTTCGGACGGGTATCAATCTTACTCCCCAGCTGATTTACAATGTTTGAGCACATCTTGCCTCCTCTAACCTCTTACCCCCCCTTCACCCTCCTCACCTTCAGACACCCCTTCCCCTCCCAGCCCTCTCTATTCCCTCCCCCATCCTTCAACCCTTCCCGAGGCTTGACAGGCTTTTAGTATGTTTCTGGGTAGAGTTGAACCGAATTGCATTATGTCTGAAGGAACTATGATGACTGTTTTACGAGTATGTTCCAAATGTTTTATGTGCTGTTACCCTAACCATAATAACGTGCTGTGCTTCGACCCTTCCCGAAGCATGACAGGCTTCTCGTGTGCTTCTGGGTGGAGTTGAACCGAACAGCATACCGAACTGCATGATGTCTGAAGGAACTATGATGACTGTTTTATGAGTATGTTCCAAATGTTTTTTATGCTGACACCCTAACCATAATACCGTGCTCGGCTTCAACCCTTCCCGAGGCTTGACAGGCTTCTGGTGTGCTTCTGGGTGGAGTTGAACCGAATTGCGCAATATCTGAAGGAACTATGATGACTGTTCCACGAGTATGTTCCTAATGTTTTCTGTGCTGATACCCTAACCATACTACTGTGCTGGAAATTCTAAGCCTTTGCAGAGTTGGAAGATGGCACTCGCGCACTAACTATGACTCAGGTACCGGACCGGCCCTGATGAGCCACTCCGACCCTGGCCATTGAGCGCCCCAGCGCCCACGCCCAATGCGTCCGACACGCACCGAATGGTCCCATAAACTATACATACCTCCTAGCCCGATTTACCACTCCAAATTACCATCTAGCACACCATGGATTGCCCGTCTCTCCCTATGGAAAGACGTGCCGTTACATCACCGAATCCCCCCCACACTGAACTAATTCGATTACCCCACAACTAAGTGGAGAGTCACCTAAAGCCTTAGCGGTGCCGACTCAACTTCCCCTGGACTTAATAGCCACCAAAGGGAAAGCCACCGTCAACCTAGGCTGACTGACTCCACATTTCACAATACCCCAACTTCCAGCTCTGCAAGTATAAGAGCTGCTCTGTATATAGTTTCTTTCACTGTTATATTGTTACTGTTTTTACTTCGTTCTGACTGCTACATACCCACTCAAGACCACCACAACATGACACCCCCCCCTGCAGCCAACATGGCCAGCCTTACAATAGTCACCCTCAACGTCAGGGGCCTCAATTCTCCCATGAAAAGAGCGCTGACCCTCCAAGAGCTACGCAGCCTAAAGGCAGACGTAGCTTTCCTCCAAGAGACTCACCTTAAAATGGGCTCAACCATCACAATTCGTAACTGTCACTACCCCACAGGATACTATGGGTGCTACAAAGAGGCCAAGACTAGAGGGGTAGCCATCCTTATAGGTTCACAAGTACCCTACACTCACATAAGCCACTATGAGGACCCCAACGGCAGGCTCCTCATAGTGAAAGGGAAGATAGGCAACACTGTGGTGACATTTGCCAACATGTATCTACCTAACGCCAAACAAGGCACGCACCTGTCGAAATACATTACCAAAACTGAAAAACACATGGAAGGTATCCTGATAATGGGAGGGGATCTAAACATGTCCCTGGACTCGAACCTAGATACCACATCCATGTCCACATCGTACAACGCCCATACCAGACTCAGGATGACTCAATTACTAGACAAAGCCTGCCTATTTGACAGCTGGAGGATCACCCACCCACACACCAAGGATTACTCTTACTACTCCTCGGTAAAACATACCTATTCTAGACTAGATATGCTCTTTCTCCACCACAGACACCTACACCTAATCCAGTCCTGTAACTACGGCCCCATCACCTGGTCGGACCATGCACCTTTGTCACTGGTTGTTCAGATCCCCTCATTGACACCCAACCGCAACCAATGGAAACTGAATGACACCCTACTAAACGACCCAACCATCATTACATCACTCACTGACGCATTACAGCACTACTTCGAAGAAAATAAACCCACAGTCTCCCCCCCACCAATCATTTGGGAGGCCCACAAGGCGGTAATTAGAGGCCACATCATAGCGCTAGCTTCCAAACTCAAAAAACAGAGAGAAGCGCAGACAGCTGACCTACTAGTGGACATACGCCAATTAGAACAAACCCACAAACAAACCATGTCCCTAGACACGTACAAACAACTAGTGGACAAACGCACGACACTGCAAACACTTCTTAACTCCAAGGTCAAACGAACGCTGCTTCGCACCAAACACACCTACTACACACAAGGAGGAAAATGTGGTAGGCTACTAGCGAGAGCTCTCCAACAAACCAACCAACGGACATACATCACCACGATCAAACAAAAAGATGGCACTCGCACGCACCTCCTACCAAACATACTTAAGGAATTCCATACTTTTTACACAGGCCTGTACAACCTGAGACTAACCCCGCCCTCTGGTGAGGATGTAACCAACTTCCTAGCCACGAGGATCACCCATACTATCCCCCCGAATATCAGACAAACCTTTGACAGCCCCCTGACACCTGAAGAATTCACGACAGTAGTTAAATGACTCCCCCTAGGGAAAAGCCCAGGACCGGACGGTTTCACAGCTAAATACTATAAAGCGTTCGCCAGTGTCCTTAAAACTCCATTTGTAACCGCATTTAACGCCCTTACATCCGGGCATAATCTCCCCACCGAATCCCTAGAAGCCCACATTACCCTCATACACAAACCGGGGAAAGACCCCGAAGAATGTGGGAGCTACCGCCCCATTTCTCTGATTAACGGTGACCTTAAGATATTCACAAAGATCCTAGCCGACCGACTCCAACCGCTAATCCACCCCGATCAATCCGGTTTTGTGCCCGGCCGCGAGGCTTAAAACAACACAACGAAATTGCTTAGCCTCATCTACGCCGCCAAATCGGCGCAAGCCCAAAGCCTCATACTTACCATAGATGCCGAAAAGGCATTCGACAGGGTGGACTGGACTATGCTTACACTGACATTACAAGCGCTAGGCTTCGGCCCAAACTGGAGCAAGTGGCTCTCAGCCATTTACTCCAAACCAGGAGCACGGATCAGGGTTAATGGCCAACTTTCGGACGTGTTTCAAATAACCAACGGCACGAGGCAAGGATGCCCCCTATCCCCCCTGTTATTTATTCTCACAATGGAACGATTTCTGCAGGGAATTAGGGATTGCCCCGATATAACAGGCCTCACAATAGCACGAAGTGAATTCAAGGTCACAGCATTTGCTGACGACCTTCTGTTCACAATCTCAAACCCGACGACATCACTGACCCACCTCATGCAACAAATCGACCTATACCACCAAGTCTCCAACTACAAAATCAATGTTAGCAAAAGCTAAAATACTCCCCCTTAACATATCCTACAACACCCGATCACTGCTCCGCAACACATATCCATTCCAATGGCCCTCAGATTCGGTCAAATACCTTGGAGTCCACCTCACTACCTCCCTAGACCGCACATACGACATCAATTTTCCCCCTCTCCTTGCCAAGATTGCGGCAGACCTTAAGGCCTGGAACAAGCCACAATTCGGATGGCTCTGCAGGACCCACATCCTCAAAATGAATGTACTCCCCAAACTTCTCTACCTGCTACAAACCCTCCCCATCAAAATTCCTACCTCATTCTTTGCACAAGCTAAGCGGACGTTTACAACATTCATATGGGCCGACAACCCCCCCAGACTCCGATATGACTGCCTCACCAAAAGTAAACAGAGAGGGGGCCTAGGTCTCCCTGACCTGGAGGCGTACCACAAGGCTATCACACTTACACGAATTTACGAATGGGCACATCCCCACAACGACACACAATGGGTAAAGATTGAAGCCAGCTTCTTCTCATCACCAATACACCTGGCACCCTGGCTAGGAAAAAAGCCCATCATCACAACACACAACTCAGAGCTACACCCAACAATCCCTCATACCCTACGTACCTGGCACAACATAAGGGGGGACCAACATATAGCTCCACACCCGTCTCCGTTCTACCCACTAACCGACAATCCAGCCTTCCTGCCAGGCTCTAACCCAATCGCTCTCAAAAGCTTTCCTAAACAAACCCACACACTCACCCTAGGAGATGTTCGCAACGACAAAGGGATCATCCCACTTGAGGACCTCACCCCCAACGCCGAACCCTCTAGCATGCTTAGGTTTAGATACGCGCAAATTACACACTTCCTACACTCGGACCCCATACTCCTCCAGGGACACAGAAATCCCACACCTTTCGAAATATTGTGCTCCCACCACACACTACGTAAGGGACTAATCTCATCCTTCTACAAAACGATCCGCCACAGCCAGGACGAAATCCTGCCAACCTACACCACACACTGGGACAAAGAACTGTCCACTCATATACCAGCTAAAAACTGGCACAAAATCTTCCACAACATATTCCACACGTCCAAGAGCAATAGCACCCACGAAAGCAACTACAAGAGAGTTGCTAAATGGCACTACACGCCGACTCGCATCAACAGATTCTTCCCTAACACACCCAAAACATGTTGGAGATGCAAACAAACTGAGGGAACCTCAGGACACATCTGGTGGCTCTGCCCCGTAATCCAGGATTACTGGAGACAGATGGCCAACCTCATACGCACCATCACTGGCGTGCACCTCCCCCTCACCCCTGAAACCATGCTATTCCTATCATACCCCCAACCACTAACCAAGCACAATCGCATCCTACTCAACCACCTCCTAACGGCTGCCAACGCTCTAATCCCCACAATGTGGAAACAGACTACAGCCCCAACTATCAGAGCCTGGATCGCCAGGGTTGACTCCATTAGAATAATGGAGGAACTTTCCTACTCCTTCACTCTCAAATATGACGAATACCTCACTACATGGACCCCTTGGCTCCAATTCCTCCAAGGAAATCAGGGACAAATTGTCTGATACCACTTCCCCAGCCAGACCTAAACCCCTGTCTTCCCTCGCGCATAGCCCACCCTCCAGGCTGATAAGCCGTATAGACTTCCCAAACTGCTATGCACCTGAACATGCCACCATCCAGTGCCCTCACCCATGCACCATTACTCTACTCTAGCCACAGGATAACAAAGTGCGCCTACACACAATGCCCGAGGACCAGCTGGAACACCATCCCACACCACGCACTCGTTATCATGCATTGTACTCAGGCATACTTCCCTTATTGCACGGCTAGGGTAAAAGACGTCAAAGCCGTATGAAACCCACCTTCTCACACCAAACCCCCCCCCCCTTGCAACACAACAAGTGGGAACTTCTCTGTTCTCGCCCCACTATCAATAACGTTGAGGCTCTTGTGCCTGCAAAAGAACCTGTTGTTTTGTTAACTACACTGTGCTGCTGACCTCATTGTAATGCTTTTAATACCTCAATAAAAAAGTTTAAAAAAAAAAAAAAAAAAAGTCTGGTCCATAGTCCAAAGGCAGCAGGCGGGCAGCCAGGCTTCTCCAATGCATTGTGGCGAGATTGGTCTCGTCACAGTAAGTTACTTGTGGCACTGGCAGCAGATGTTACTGTGGTAGAGTGAGATGCAGTGCCTGTGTAAGTCTCAATATAAGTTATTGGCTGGGGGGTTAAATTAAAAAAAAAGTGTGTGTGTCTGTTAGTGAGTGTGTGTGTGTGTGTGTGTTTGTGTGTGTCTGTGTGTGTCGGTTAGTGAGTGAGTGTGTGTCAGTGTGTGTGTGTGTGTCTGTGTGTGTCTGTTAGTGAGTGAGTGTGTGTGTGTCTGTTAGCTAGTGTATCCGTATCTGTCAGTGAATGTGTGTGTGTGTGTGTATTTAGAAGGCAGGGCAGGAGGGAAGGGTGGGTGGCGGTGCCTGAGTTTTGTCCTGCCTAGGGCAGCACAAAACCAGGTTACACCACTGGGTTAGCACTGAAAACATTAGTGATTTTGCATTTAAATTGCTCTTAAAAGATCTAAGAAACAACAGATGTAGCTCCCCTCTTGGTGTACCCAACCTCAGGGGGAGGCAGTGTGTTAATTTAGGGGAGGGAGGTAGTATATTAGATTAAGGAGCAGTGTATTAGAATGGGGGAGGGGCAGTTATTAAATTGGGTCTGCATTGGATTGGCTGTGATCATCAAGTTTGATGATCTCAGCCAAAGTGAAAAACACTTATAGGACTTCAAAATCAACAAGATAATGCCATTTGTTTTTGTTAAGACCTTCAGTGGTTATGGTACTGAGGTCTTCTATTCCTTTCCCAATAGCTGAGCATAAGTGATTATAACTGCAGTTAGGGTGTAGAGGAAAAGTTTAGATCAGGGGTCCTCAAACTCCGGCCCCCCAGATGTTGCTGAACTGGCTATCTATGTAATTCAAAAAATCATAGGAGTTGTAGTTCAGCAACATCTGGAGGGCCGGATTTTGAGGACCCCTGGTGTAGATGAATGCAGCTTCCAAGACGATTCTCCCCAGCAAATAAAATATTCCCCAATCATGAGCCTAGACTTCATGAAGGATACAACAGGAATGATCTTTATTGACGCCACACTGGCTTTTATGGAAATCCTTCTGCAAGAGGACCTCCCACAGTAAACAAAAGTAACAACCAATCATAATACAGAAAACACTCCCTTCCTCTGCCTGGGAGATTCTGAGATAAGTTAAGGAATAACCCAATTATCTCCAAGCAGAGGACAAACAATTTCCCCAAAACTTGCAATACCCCTTTATACACAAGGTATCCCCACAAATGTCCCCTGATCTGGGAGACCAACATATTCAAATTTCAATTTTGAGTTCAGGGTTCTCAAAATATATGGAAGTTTTAGTTCACCGACCACACACGAGGTCAAAAACACTGCCCAAAACAGATTCACGAATTCTGTGTATGCGGTCAGTCAATTCAGAGAACAGTATAAAAACGAATAAAAGCAAGAATGGAGCCTCCTTGCTCATAGCAGCGATTGCTCCCCGTGTTCGTATGAGCCAAACTACCGAATGGCGATCTCCAAGCTGTTTGGCAACAAAAGGAAGCAGGCGTTCGTATGTTTCAGCGGTGGTTCGGGAAGTTGAGTGTCCGATTTTAGTTCCAGACACTCGACGACCAAGTCCTGCTGCCTCCTTTCGTGAAAACAAGATGGCCGCCGTTTTCTCTTCCACATGGCATTCGCATAAACGAACGGCGACCGCCCAGAGAGCGCTTAATAGACGATTCCCTTTGAAGATAATGAGCCAGGAGGGTGGTCGGTGTTCGGTAGTTTAATCTACCGAACCCATAAATCCCAAATAAACTAATACAGCGTAAAGTCACGAATAAAAGAATAAAGTAAGTCTATTTTCTTCAGTTTTTTTTTACAGCTGTGCAACAGCATACATTCACCATTTCAGTCCCATTACCAAACATTTCTTAATTTGTCATGGTAGTTGGACTGAAATATTTCAGTTTGTTTTTTTGCAGCCTACAAAAACTTAAACCTTGTTTATTTGGCACGTGAGTTGGACATGCTTGCATTACAATGACTTAGGAACAGCCAAATATTGCATTTCAAAGCTTGTCTTCCATATCTGAAGGCATACTACATACATTATTGATACAATTAGAAAAAAGTAGCTATTTACAGAGAAGAGAAAGGTGTTGGCTAATAACCAAAAGCATAACTGTCATATCCGAAATAGACAGACATATAATATGGAATGAAATATGAAACTGAGGAAGGGGTATAACAAAAATAATAAAAAATAAAAACAGAATGATGTATAATAAAAATAATGATCAAATTGTATAAAATTGGACATAAACTGAAAAAAATGTGTATAATGAAAATGAGTAAAGAGAATATATATATATATATATATATATATATATATATAATCACACAAAAAAAAAACCACTATGGTGAAATCCATTTTCAGACCTGTTGGGTATTTAGTCTGTAATCTGTAAATAGAAACATAGAATGTGACGGCAGATAAGAACCATTCGGCCCATCTAGTCTGCCCAATTTTCTAAATACTTTCATTAGTCCCTGGCCTTATCTTATAGTTATGATAGCCTTATGCCTATCCCACGCATGCTTAAACTCCTTTACTGTGTTAACCTCTACCACTTCAGCTGGAAGGCTCTTCCATGCATTCACTACCCTCTCAGTAAAGTAATACTTCCTGATATTATTTTTATACCTTTGTCCCTCTAATTTAAGACTATGTCCTCTTGTTGTGGTAGTTTTTCTTCTTTTAAATATAGTCTCCTCCTTTACTGTGTTGATTCCCTTTATATATTTAAATGTTTCTATCATATCCCCCCTGTCTCGTCTTTCCTCCAAGCTATACATGTTAAGATCCTTTAACCTTTCCTGGTAAGTTTTATCCCACAATCCATGAACCAGTTTAGTAGTCCTTCTCTGAACTCTCTCTAAGGTATCAATATCCTTCTGAAGATATGGTCTCCAGTACTGTGTACAATATTCCAAGTGAGGTCTCACCAGTGTTCTGTGCAATGGCATGAGCACTTCCCTCTTTCCCTCTTCCTACTGCTAATACCTCTCCCTATACAACCAAGCATTCTGCTAGCATCTCCTGCTGCTCTATTACATTGTCTGCCTACCTTTAAGTCATCAGAAATAATCACCCCTAAATCCCTTTCCTCAGATGTTGAGGTTAGGACTCTATCAAATATTCTGTACTCTGCCCTTGGCATTTTACGTCCAAGATGCATTCTCTTGCACTTATCCACATTAAATGTCAGTTGCCACAATTCTGACCATTTTTCTAGTTTACCTAAATCATTTGCTTATCCCTCCTGGAACATCAACCCTGTTACCTATCTTAGTATCATCCGCAAAAATACATACCTTACCATCAAGAACTTCTGCAATATCACTAATAAAAATATTAAAGAGAATGGGTCCAAGTACAGATCTCTGAAGTACCCTTATGATGACAAGTCCAAATGTGCATTTTGTATTCTGATTTTTGTTAAGAAATACAACTTTTTAAGTATATTTCTTACCTCTGGTTCCTGACTTGATATCTCATTATATGAGACTGAATAATAATCAGAGAATTTATCCAAGGGAAGAAATTTATTTTTCTACTCCAAATCCCTGGTTCTTGAAAGTCTGGAGATTCCATCCTAAAGAAAAACTCCATATCTATGTCTATGAATGAGACATGTATGCTGAATAAGTTCTGAGCCAACTTCTAATTGGCTCCAAAAATTGTGAGTGGTTTCAGCTCTTTTAT